TGAATAGAAACTGAGTGATGGTGAATAGAAATTGAGTGATGGTGAATAGAAACTGATTGATGGTGAATAGAAACTGAGTGATGGTGAATAGAAACTGAGAGATGGTGAATAGAAACTGATTGATGGTGAATAGAAACTGATTGATGGTGAATAGAAACTGATTGATGGTGAATAGAAACTGATTGATGGTGAATAGAAATTGAGTGATTGATGGTGAATAGAAACTGATTGATGGTGAATAGAAATTGAGTGATGGTGAATAGAAACTGAGTGATGGTGAATAGAAACTGATTGATGGTGAATAGAAACTGATTGATGGTGAATAGAAACTGATTGATGGTGAATAGAAATTGATTGATGGTGAATAGAAACTGATTGATGGTGAATAGAAATTGAGTGATGGTGAATAGAAACTGATTGATGGTGAATAGAAACTGATTGATGGTGAATAGAAACTGATTGATGGTGAATAGAAATTGAGTGATTGATGGTGAATAGAAACTGATTGATGGTGAATAGAAACTGAGAGATGGTGAATAGAAACTGAGTGATGGTGAATAGAAACTGATTGATGGTGAATAGAAACTGAGTGATGGTGAATAGAAATTGAGTGATTGATGGTGAATAGAAACTGATTGATGGTGAATAGAAACTGATTGATGGTGAATAGAAACTGATTGATGGTGAATAGAAACTGATTGATGGTGAATAGAAACTGAGAGATGGTGAATAGAAACTGAGTGATTGATGGTGAATAGAAACTGATTGATGGTGAATAGAAACTGCGAGATGGTGAATAGAAATTGAGTGATTGATGGTGAATAGAAACTGATTGATGGTGAATAGAAACTGATTGATGGTGAATAGAAACTGAGAGATGGTGAATAGAAACTGATTGATGGTGAATAGAAACTGAGAGATGGTGAATAGAAACTGATTGATGGTGAATAGAAACTGATTGATGGTGAATAGAAACTGATTGATGGTGAATAGAAATTGAGAGATGGTGAAAAGAAACTGATTGATGGTGAATAGAAACTGAGAGATGGTGAATAGAAACTGATTGATGGTGAATAGAAACTGAGAGATGGTGAATAGAAACTGATTGATGGTGAATAGAAACTGAGAGATGGTGAATAGAAATTGAGAGATGGTGAATAGAAATTGAGTGATGGTGAATAGAAACTGAGAGATGGTGAATAGAAACTGATTGATGGTGAATAGAAACTGAGAGATGGTGAATAGAAACTGATTGATGGTGAATAGAAACTGAGAGATGGTGAATAGAAATTGAGAGATGGTGAATAGAAATTGAGTGATGGTGAATAGAAACTGAGAGATGGTGAATAGAAACTGATTGATGGTGAATAGAAACTGATTGATGGTGAATAGAAACTGAGAGATGGTGAATAGAAACTGATTGATGGTGAATAGAAACTGAGAGATGGTGAATAGAAACTGAGAGATGGTGAATAGAAATTGAGAGATGGTGAATAGAAATTGAGTGATGGTGAATAGAAACTGATTGATGGTGAATAGAAACTGATTGATGGTGAATAGAAATTGATTGATGGTGAATAGAAATTGAGTGATGGTGAATAGAAACTGATTGATGGTGAATAGAAACTGATTGATGGTGAATAGAAACTGAGAGATGGTGAATAGAAACTGATTGATGGTGAATAGAAACTGAGAGATGGTGAATAGAAACTGAGAGATGGTGAATAGAAACTGATTGATGGTGAATAGAAACTGAGAGATGGTGAATAGAAACTGAGAGATGGTGAATAGAAACTGATTGATGGTGAATAGAAACTGATTGATGGTGAATAGAAATTGAGAGATGGTGAATAGAAACTGATTGATGGTGAAAAGAAACTGATTGATGGTGAATAGAAACTGAGTGATGGTGAATAGAAACTGAGAGATGGTGAATAGAAACTGATTGATGGTGAATAGAAACTGATTGATGGTGAATAGAAACTGATTGATGGTGAATAGAAACTGATTGATGGTGAATAGAAACTGAGTGATGGTGAATAGAAATTGAGTGATGGTGAATAGAAACTGAGAGATGGTGAATAGAAACTGAGAGATGGTGAATAGAAACTGAGAGATGGTGAATAGAAACTGATTGATGGTGAATAGAAACTGATTGATGGTGAAAAGAAACTGATTGATGGTGAATAGAAACTGATTGATGGTGAATAGAAACTGAGTGATTGATGGTGAATAGAAATTGAGTGATGGTGAATAGAAACTGATTGATGGTGAATAGAAATTGATTGATGGTGAATAGAAATTGAGAGATGGTGAATAGAAACTGATTGATGGTGAATAGAAATTGATTGATGGTGAATAGAAACTGATTGATGGTGAATAGAAACTGAGAGATGGTGAATAGAAACTGATTGATGGTGAATAGAAATTGATTGATGGTGAATAGAAACTGATTGATGGTGAATAGAAATTGAGTGATGGTGAATAGAAACTGATTGATGGTGAATAGAAACTGATTGATGGTGAATAGAAACTGATTGATGGTGAATAGAAACTGATTGATGGTGAATAGAAACTGAGTGATGGTGAATAGAAACTGATTGATTGATGGTGAATAGAAACTGATTGATGGTGAATAGAAATTGATTGATGGTGAATAGAAACTGATTGATGGTGAATAGAAATTGAGTGATTGATGGTGAATAGAAACTGATTGATGGTGAATAGAAACTGAGAGATGGTGAATAGAAACTGATTGATGGTGAATAGAAACTGAGAGATGGTGAATAGAAACTGATTGATGGTGAATAGAAATTGAGTGATGGTGAAAAGAAACTGATTGATGGTGAATAGAAACTGAGTGATGGTGAATAGAAACTGATTGATGGTGAATAGAAACTGATTGATGGTGAATAGAAACTGAGAGATTGATGGTGAATAGAAATTGAGTGATTGATGGTGAATAGAAACTGATGGATGGTGAATAGAAACTGAGAGATGGTGAATAGAAACTGATTGATGGTGAATAGAAACTGATTGATGGTGAATAGAAACTGAGTGATGGTGAATAGAAACTGATTGATGGTGAATAGAAACTGATTGATGGTGAATAGAAACTGATTGATGGTGAATAGAAATTGATTGATGGTGAATAGAAATTGATTGATGGTGAATAGAAATTGAGTGATTGATGGTGAATAGAAACTGATTGATGGTGAATAGAAACTGAGAGATGGTGAATAGAAACTGATTGATGGTGAATAGAAACTGAGAGATGGTGAATAGAAACTGATTGATGGTGAATAGAAACTGATTGATGGTGAATAGAAACTGATTGATGGTGAATAGAAATTGATTGATGGTGAATAGAAATTGATTGATGGTGAATAGAAATTGAGTGATGGTGAATAGAAACTGAGAGATGGTGAATAGAAACTGATTGATGGTGAATAGAAACTGATTGATGGTGAATAGAAACTGATTGATGGTGAATAGAAATTGATTGATGGTGAATAGAAATTGATTGATGGTGAATAGAAATTGAGTGATTGATGGTGAATAGAAACTGATTGATGGTGAATAGAAACTGAGAGATGGTGAATAGAAACTGATTGATGGTGAATAGAAACTGAGAGATGGTGAATAGAAACTGATTGATGGTGAATAGAAACTGAGAGATGGTGAATAGAAACTGATTGATGGTGAATAGAAACTGAGTGATGGTGAATAGAAACTGAGAGATGGTGAATAGAAACTGATTGATGGTGAATAGAAACTGATTGATGGTGAATAGAAATTGAGTGATTGATGGTGAATAGAAACTGATTGATGGTGAATAGAAACTGATTGATGGTGAATAGAAATTGAGTGATGGTGAATAGAAACTGATTGATGGTGAATAGAAACTGAGTGATGGTGAAAAGAAACTGATTGATGGTGAATAGAAACTGATTGATGGTGAATAGAAACTGAGAGATGGTGAATAGAAACTGAGAGATGGTGAATAGAAACTGATTGATGGTGAATAGAAACTGAGAGATGGTGAATAGAAATTGATTGATGGTGAATAGAAACTGATTGATGGTGAATAGAAACTGATTGATGGTGAATAGAAACTGAGAGATGGTGAAAAGAAACTGATTGATGGTGAATAGAAACTGAGAGATGGTGAATAGAAACTGATTGATGGTGAATAGAAACTGATTGATGGTGAATAGAAACTGATTGATGGTGAATAGAAACTGAGAGATGGTGAATAGAAACTGATTGATGGTGAATAGAAACTGATTGATGGTGAATAGAAATTGAGTGATGGTGAATAGAAATTGAGTGATGGTGAATAGAAACTGATTAATGGTGAATAGAAACTGATTGATGGTGAATAGAAATTGAGTGATTGATGGTGAATAGAAACTGATTGATGGAGAATATGCTTTCCAAATTACTAACTGCGTCACTGATTTTTCATAATTAGATTTTAACTACAAATCACATCATCAGCTGGTGATCACTTTCAGTGAATATTTAAAAAGAAAAAAAATAGAACAGAAATGTAGAATGTCTGTCAGCTGCTACTTGTCACCTCAATGACACATACAGGTAATACACCATATAAATTTACACTTACATATCATAGATCATCACACCATCTATTAGTGAAGCATCATAAAGAAAATAATTCCAATCTAGCTAATTCTATCTGGTCAAAAGGATGAAATTATATATAATCCTGACTAAAAAACTGGATCTTGTGGTATATGGCAAGTTTAAATTTCTCATTATACTGTATTTTCCGTTTGAATTTGTATGTGTTTTTAATCAGTCAAGACACAAATTTTTACAGAAGAAAAATACCCACATCTTTCGTATGACTGACAGTTTGAATAGTATTGAACAGAATCATTGGTCATTAGTTCTTTCATTATGCTAATTATATATAACACTACAAGATGTAATCAATTTATTGTTTGTTGTAATAATTATGTTTTTTTTTTCCTAAGCTGGAAGAAACCGGAAACAGGAAGTTCAGAAATTAAGATATTCAGCACCTGCCAAGGGAACAGAGGAAAGTGTATATGAACTTGCTCAGGCTGCCCCAGATACGAGTAAACATATTTCTTCATCAAAGGGAAACAACCCTGTGAATACCAAAAAAGTGCCATTACACCGAGCACAATCGGAAGGATTGACTTATGATCATGTGTTTAACATAGCTGGAACAAGCTTTGATTCAGGTGTTGACACTGGTGTGGAGACTACATGTGAAATTCCAGAATCAGAACTGGATGATTATGATCATTTAAGTACGTGGAAAGGTAGTAATCCGTCCAGTCCGCTGAAGTCCCCTAATCACACACACGGTCAAACTTTTGAAGTAGGTGAAGAAAAAGTAAAAAGTCCCAAAATGAACACAGTATCCAGTGCTTTTACTGCAAGAGGTGCAACTAGGTCCTCTCCAAAACAGTCTGCAGGTCGAGTAGAAGAGATTTATACCGGTGCATACGAAGAACCATGGGATTCCAAGCAAAGTCAACAACATTTTTCAAACATTGTTGGGAAGGCAGAAAGCAAATACCCAGAGAGTAATGATGATAGAATCATTCCAGGAGTAGTTATACAACCGAAAGTGAAACAGCCGGAGGTATCTGTATATGAGGATGCGTGGGACACAGAGGAAAAACAAAAACAGTTTGAAAACAGAGTAAAGGAAGCTTCAAGGAAGCAAAGTGAAGGGGTTTTACCGAAAAGTGATGAAAGTGCTTCATCAAGTGCAACTTATGATGAACCATGGACAGACATAAACTCTATGCGAACAACACAACCACCAAAGTCAATACCAGGACAACCGAAAATGAGAGTGTCCTCTTCACCAAGCCCTGCTCAGCGACCTCCGCAAGGCCTGCCACCTTTGAATAATCCTGCTCATCGACCACCTCAAAATCTACCCGGTGCCTCAGGCTCTTCTGTTCCAGCTGAGTCTAACACATATGAGTCCCCATGGGACACAAAGAAACGAGAACAGGAGCTGGAAGACAAAGTCCACATGTTAAGACACAGTAGCCCTGTTAACCAAAGAACAGTAGTAGACTCACCTCCTCCACTGTCTCCAGGATCTCCTCCCAACTTTTACCCTCCCCCACCCCCTGTGTCACAGACCTATGAAGAAGCGTGGGATAGGAAACGACCACACCTCCTTGCTAAAGCTCAATCAGGTCAGTCTTTAATCTAGTATAGATAATACTATGAAGATCTCTTATTTAAGATATTGTACAAATGGCAGATATTTCCATCGTGTTAGATTATTCTGCATGTATTTCAAAATGGTTAAAACAAACATTGGAGAGTGTAAGTAGTAGACCAGTATTTTTTTTCATTGGAAATGCTTTTCCAAAAGAAATTGAATAGCTTAATTAGTAAAATGAGTTTGATTATTTTAGCTGCATGATAAAGTTATAGGGACTTTTTTCATGGTTATCACTTTGTATAAGTTCAGCTACATTACAAAATTAAAAGGAATTTTTTCATGGTTATCACTTTGTATAAGTTTAGCTACGTTACAAAATTAAAGGGAATTTTTTCATGGTTATCACTTTGTATAAGTTTAGCTACATTACAAAATCATAGGGAATTTTTTCATGGTTATCACTTTGTATAAGTTTAGCTACATTACAAAATCATAGGGAATTTTTTCATGGTTATCACTTTGTATAAGTTTAGCTACATTACAAAATTATAGGGAATTTTTTCATGGTTATCACTTTGTATAAGTTTAGCTACATTACAAAATTATAGGGAATTTTTTCATGGTTATCACTTTGTATAAGTTTAGCTACATTACAAAATCATAGGGAATTTTTTCATGGTTATCACTTTGTATAAGTTTAGCTACATTACAAAATTAAAGGGAATTTTTTCATGGTTATCACTTTGTATAAGTTTAGCTACATTACAAAATTATAGGGAATTTTTTCATGGTTATCACTTTGTATAAGTTATGACATTTGCAGTATTTTTATTGTTGTATTTTTGTAACAACACATCGAAACCCTATTCTGTTACAGCTTCCTTGTTGGAAGTTATAATAACTTCCTGAAACAAGTGATTGGTTAATCGATTGTTGATTCAGGTAGTTACACATATTACACTGATGAGACAGGAATTTCCACATACAGGTGTACCTTTGGTGAGGGGAACAATTTCTAAAAGGTTATATATTGTAAATGATAATTGTACATCGTTATACATTTTATCAGGTATGTGAGTGGAATAGTATGGAATGACATTACAGATTCCTTGTTTTACGTTTTTCTGCACTGTTTATTTCATTTTAAATACTCTTCTCAATCCAGAGGGACACAGTATCGCTTCTGGCCAGATCAGAATGCCAGAAGTTCCAGGGAGGGAACGTGCTGAGCCAATAGACTCTGGCCTGCCATTGGATATACAGAAGTAAGACAGAGATATATAAAACATTGTGTCGTTCAATTTGTTTGATTTGATTAATTTTTCTTGTCCTATGTTTCATGTGTAATGACTGATTAATATGTTCTCTAGTAGACACTTCATCTTTGGAAAAAAAACAGTTAATTTTGATTTCTTTAGATTTAAGATAGTTTGGTGAATTTTTAAAAATTTTTTGTTTATCTCCAAAACAATTTCTTGAGAACAAAACTTTTGAAGAGTTCTATCTTCTTTGTGATTACTACACCATGAACTATAGGATTTGGCTGACGGAGTTCCTAATGTTAAATGTATTTATAACATGCATGCCCCCAGAGTAATAGAGCTTTAGAAAGGAAACATTAATATTGTAATTGGTAATAACTTCTCTCTGAATTTTTGAAATAATATTTAAGTTAAAAGAGTAATTAAGATGTGCAAGGCATTTTTATTCTATAAATAACTTTGATAATTGGCAGATATGTAAATGGGTTTTCATTTTATGTCACAGTAAATCTGTTTGCCCAACACTTTGACTAATTGAAAAATGATTGAACCATCACACTGATATTGAAATGATCTGTGTAATGATAGTTGGTGTGAATAAGTATGAAGACCAACACAACAAACTACATATATGTTTTGGCCTGCAGTCTTTAGGAACAGTTCGTTTGATGAAATCTCATTACATGTAATAACAAAGTGATAAGTCATAGTTGTGAAACTATCACACTTTGAAGGGGTTACTTTAAACTCATGCACATAACTTTTTCTCTTAGCTAACCGAGAGATGTCAATGGCCACGGTTCATCTTGTTAAATCTAGTGGTAAACACTGTCGGTGATGGAGTGTATCTTATACAGGACTGGTGTTAACAGTGTGTGGTACTGTAAACATTTACTATAGGAAGTGATGATATTTGATGCACACATTGTTCTAATAAATTCATGCAGATGACTGTTCATAAATATTTCCAAGTAAATTTCAGTCACAACACACATCAAAAAGTCACCAGTAAGTGCGATACTTAGTGGCTGACGGGTTTTTCCTCTGACGGGTTTTTCCTCTGATGTTAATTTCTTCCTTTTTATGTCAAGATCATTACTTGTGATATATAACTATTGCTGTGATTGGAATAGCTTTCCGTACAACAACAAACTGATGTTGACTGATGGTTATATGTTCAGCTGACTATTTGAATATTTAATTTTGTAAGTTGTCATTATGATCCGTCATTAATAATCAACAGACAATCATATTGTATAGTTCTAGGTCTGTTAATATTTCTATGTTGTTAAATTTGTTAAAAATTACATTCTCAATCAAGAAAGAACAAATGTAATTTGGTTTCGTAAATATTGCTGGCATGTATAATTGGATAGGTAATGAGATACTTCTTTTGATTAAATCCTACATCTACAGAACTAGAACTCTCCACAGTACACTATCACCTACATCTACAGAACTAGAACTCTCCACAGTACACTATCACCTACCTCTACAGAACTCTGCACAGTACAGCATCACCTACCTCTACAGAGCTCTGCACAGTACAGCATCACCTACCTCTACAGAACTCTCCACAGTACAGCATCACCTACATCTACAGAACTAGAACTCTCCACAGTACACTATCACCTACATCTACAGAACTAGAACTCTCCACAGTACAGCATCACCTACATCTACAGAACTAGAACTCTCCACAGTACAGCATCACCTACATCTACAGAACTAGAACTCTCCACAGTACAGCATCACCTACATCTACAGAACTAGAACTCTCCACAGTACAGCATCACCTACATCTACAGAACTAGAACTCTCCACAGTACAACATCACCTACCTCTACAGGACTAGAACTCTCCACAGCACACTATCACCTACCTCTACAGAACTCTCCACAGTACAGCATCACCTACATCTACAGGACTAGAACTCTCCACAGTACAGCATCACCTACATCTACAGAACTAGAACTCTCCACAGTACTGCATCACCTATCTCTACAGGACTAGAACTCTCCACAGCAAACTATCACCTACATCTACAGAACTAGAACTCTCCACAGCACACTATCACCTACCTTTACAGGACTAGAACTCTCCACAGTACACTATCACCTACCTCTACAGAACTCTCCACAGTACAGCATCACCTACATCTGCAGAACTAGAACTCTCTCCACAGTACACTATCACCTACATCTACAGGACTAGAACTCTCCACAGCACACTATCACCTACATCTACAGAACTAGAACTCTCCACAGTACACTATCACCTACCTCTACAGAACTCTCCACAGTACAGCATCACCTACATCTGCAGAACTAGAACTCTCTCCACAGTACACTATCACCTACATCTACAGGACTAGAACTCTCCACAGCACACTATCACCTTCATCTACAGAACTAGAACTCTCCACAGCACACTATCACCTACCTCTACAGAACTCTCCACAGTACAGCATCACCTACATCTACAGGACTAGAGCTCTCCACAGTACAGCATCACCTACATCTACAGAACTAGAACTCTCCACAGTACAGCATCACCTATCTCTACAGGACTAGAACTCTCCACAGTACAGCATCACCTACATCTACAGAACTAGAACTCTCCACAGTACAGCATCACCTAATTTGGTTTCGTAAATATTGCTGGCATGTATAATTGGATAGGTAATGAGATACTTCTTTTGATTAAATCCTACATCTACAGAACTAGAACTCTCCACAGTACAACATCACCTACCTCTACAGAACTAGAACTCACCACAGCACACTATCACCTACATCTACAGAACTAGAACTCTCCACAGTACACTATCACCTACATCTACAGAACTAGAACTCTCCACAGTACAGCATCACCTACCTCTACAGAACTCTCCACAGTACAGCATCACCTACATCTACAGGACTAGAGCTCTCCACAGTACAGCATCACCTACATCTACAGAACTAGAACTCTCCACAGTACAGCATCACCTATCTCTACAGGACTAGAACTCTCCACAGTACAGCATCACCTACATCTACAGAACTAGAACTCTCCACAGTACAGCATCACCTAATTTGGTTTCGTAAATATTGCTGGCATGTATAATTGGATAGGTAATGAGATACTTCTTTTGATTAAATCCTACATCTACAGAACTAGAACTCTCCACAGTACAACATCACCTACCTCTACAGAACTAGAACTCACCACAGCACACTATCACCTACATCTACAGAACTAGAACTCTCCACAGTACACTATCACCTACATCTACAGAACTAGAACTCTCCACAGTACAGCATCACCTACATCTACAGAACTAGAACTCTCCACAGTACAGCATCACCTACATCTACAGAACTAGAACTCTCCACAGTACAGCATCACCTACATCTACAGGACTAGAACTCTCCACAGTACACTATCACCTACCTCTACAGAACTCTCCACAGTACAGCATCACCTACATCTGCAGAACTAGAACTCTCTCCACAGTACAGCATCACCTACATCTACAGAACTAGAACTCTCCACAGTACAGCATCACCTACATCTACAGAACTAGAACTCTCCACAGTACAGCATCACCTACCTCTACAGAACTAGAACTCTCCACAGTACACTATCACCTACCTCTACAGAACTAGAACTCTCCACAGTACAGCATCACCTACCTCTACAGAACTAGAACTCTCCACAGCACACTGTCACCTACCTCTACAGAACTCTCCACAGTACAGCATCACCTACATCTGCAGAACTAGAACTCTCCACAGTACAGCATCACCTACCTCTACAGGACTAGAACTCTCCACAGCACACTATCACCTACATCTACAGGACTAGAACTCTCCACAGCACACTATCACCTTCATCTACATAACTAGAACTCTCCACAGCACACTATCACCTACCTCTACAGAACTCTCCACAGTACAGCATCACCTACATCTACAGAACTAGAACTCTCCACGGCACACTATCACCTACATCTACAGGACTAGAACTCTCCACAGTACAGCATCACCTACCTCTACAGAACTCTCCACGGTACAGCATCACCTACATCTACAGAACTCTCCACAGTACACTATCACCTACCTCTACAGAACTAGAACTCTCCACAGCACACTATCACCTACCTCTACAGAACTAGATCTCTCCACAGTACAGCATCACCTACCTCTACAGAACTAGAACTCACCACAGCACACTATCACCTACATCTACAGAACTAGAACTCTCCACAGTACACTATCACCTACATCTACAGAACTAGAACTCTCCACAGCACACTATCACCTACCTCTACAGGACTAGAACTCTCTACAGTACACTACCAGACATGGCTTTAGTTAATGTGATAAAAAAAACCAAGTTCAGACAGACGTATATATCACATATGTGTTGTATGTCTCTGGTTCAGATGTATGTTTACAAATGTTTCTAAATGAATGGAAGAAATGGTTTATATTGCTTAAACTTCAGTGTCAATGGAACCTTATTTTAACGCTGAATCTTTTCAGTAGCAATTAGTTACTGAATAACAATCAAATATTATGTACGTATTTTTATTCTTATAACACAGTTTCTAAGGATGGACTCGTCTGATGTTTTGTCCGGAAGTAATTCATACATGTAATTCAGTATAAACTGATTTCCAACATACTATCTCACACTTTTTCTGTTATATACTTCGTCATATACTTTAACCTTCACTGGTGTGATTGATCTGGTTTGAGAAGTAGGGTTAATTAATAGAAGTGACAAACATAACATATTTTGGAATCTTAAACCAAGTGTATATTGAATTAGAACTGTCACTTTATTGAAAAAAATTCTCTTTTGATAATGAAACATTTACTTAAATACAAACAAAAAAAACATGTTTATGAAACACTATGTTCCTGGTAGCAACAAAATTCTGAGGTGGGACATTAAAGCTGTACTATGTAAGGCATGTGCCAGCTGCATGCACACTTTGTGAAACACTTATGTCTTCATTGTGATAGTAACTTGACACTTTTATTTCAATAGTTATGGCCATAGATAAAATTTTTCAAATGTAGGTCAAAGGTCAAAGTCAAGGTCACATGATCAAAAATTTTGGTTCCACCACAAAGGTCTTGTCACGAGGAACGCATGTCAAATACAAAAGCCCTACCTCTTACAGTGCAATAGTTATTGGCAAGATTAAAGTTGACAACAAACAAACAGAGCGCAAGAACAATGTGTCTCTGATCATTCGATCCGTGGGCATAAACAGAAATATGTACTTATATATTATAAACAAAAATATGTACTTATATATTATAAACCTACAATATCCTTATATAATTAATGTCTATATATATGTTACCCGTCTATCAATATGTCTTTGTACATGTGTATTTCAAGCTTATATATCTGTTGTTCTGAATCTATGTATATATCTATGTACTTGTATATCAAAAATCTATCATGTGTAATTCCTTTTTAATATATCTATGTATCTGAATATTAAAAGTCTATAATATGTTATTCCTTCTAATATATCTATGTATCTGAATATTAAAAGTCTATAATATGTCATTCCTTCTGATATATCTATGTATCTGTATATTAAAAGTCTATAATATGTCATTCCTTCTAATATATCTATGTACCTGTATATTAAAAGTCTGTAATATGTCATTCCTTCTAATATATCTATGTACCTGAATATTAAAAGTCTGTAATATGTCATTCCTTCTAATCTATCTATGTACCTGAATATTAAAAGTCTATAATATGTCATTCCTTCTGATATATCTATGTATCTGTATATTAAAAGTCTATAATATGTCATTCCTTCTAATATATCTATGTACCTGTATATTAAAAGTCTATAATATGCTGTTTGTTACAGATTCTATCATGGCAGCATTACAAGGAAAGAGGCAGAGGAGCTGATGCGTATACATAAGGAGGGTAGTTACCTGGTGCGGCGCAGTGAAACACAGAAGAATGTCTTCTCCCTTTCTATAAAGTATGTTTCACTAGTAAATACTGATAATTTGATAAAATTGCTAGTAAATTGAATTTCGTTGTACTGCAAGAAGCCCATTCCCTATGTCAAGGGAACATACTTTTTATTGACATCCGAAATTTCCAGATATAGATTCAGGGATATGGCAAATTTCTGGTTTCTGGAGACAAGGTGGTTTTTTTTGGTTTATTTATTTGTTTGTTGTTTTTTTTGTTTTTTTTTATTTGCATTCTAATAATATCCCCTTCCCCTAGAGAAATTTGTATTTTTCCGATTTTGTGATCATATTTTCCCAATCAGAAGTCATTAAAATATCTGTAGGTATCAATTGATGTGAAAAGTCATACAGAATGAAAATGCAGAAAAAGTGTTGATAAATGATCAGTAAACATTAAACAAAAACCTGTTGATGTTATCTTTTTGGTTTTCAAGAAAGAACATACTTCTCTTATTAGCAGAAAAATACTGCTGTATTTTCCAAATGGAAAAAGTGCAGGTCTCTGTTGAAATAAGGGGTTAAAAAATCACTGTCCTGGAAAAAGTCCTAGGGTGGGGAACCGTCAAATTGCTTTAGCCATCCATCTCCACAACTTTATCTGTTTTGTGGAACCGTTTGAAACTGGAGGGATAAATTTTATCTGAGAATGTTTGCAAAACTTCAGATATATGACTATGCCCCAACTGTCTGTTTGATGGTAACATGACTAAATGCTAAGATTAACCAAAGACACTGCATCAGAATTAAAAGAGAAAGTATCATCTGCACGTTACAGGCCAGTTTGGTAACGTAGCTCACTCTACATCCAAACTCACTTACCCGTATGAGCAGGTCGCCACATACATTGTAAATATCAGATCCTATATTGAATAAGAATGTTTTATTGCTGGAGAATGCCAGCACAGAAACAGAATATATATAATTGCATATTTGCTATGATACACATTTTTGAGAATGATTTTGATGATTACCTTCATATCCAGAAAGTTCGTCCAGGATCACATAAATGGTACTATTTTGTTTATCTTTTTACAGAGGTATAAGGGGCATGCCAATGCATATAAGGATTGGATTAAGTAACGGAGAGTACATCCTGGGAGAGAATAGCCAGCCATTCCCGACCGTTCCTGAGGTCATAGACTACTACACCCGACATGAACTCCCGGTACAGAACGCAGGCCGTCTTCGACTCCTCTATCCCATCATGCGCAACAAACATACAAACTAACTTTAATAAGTTTTAAAAAGGATTGGATATTATACATGTAAATGTACGATATATGTAAAATGTTTCGCAATTTGTACATTAATGACTGTAAATGATACTTTTTTTGTTTTTAATCAGACATTTGTGTACATGTTACATGAATAGAGTTTGAAATGGAATTATGTCTGTGATTGGTTTAAGAGAGAGACACATCCTGAACAGAGTTGTTTCACTGCACATAGATTGTCTTTCATTACAATACTTATTGATGTATTTAATACCTTGTAATCAACAGATTTTGGATTAAATTCCATTCTCTGTTAATCTCCTTTTACTTTGATCAAAATCTGTAAAATACAAGTAAAAGCATTGAGGGACCATTTTATAATAACAGAAAACAGTACTTTTTTCGTGTCTTAAAATCCTGTGTGCTGAGTTGAAAGATTTATGGTCCGAAGTACATAACAGTTTTCATATTATAGGCGGACATTATCTCCTCGTACTCTATAAGTGATGATTAAGATTCAACATTTGTAAACCGGACTCAGATGATCCGAAATATATGTACAGTGCTGGAATATTGATAATCTTGTTTAAAAATCTACACAATTTCAATGTAGCTGTTGATATTATAGATACTTGTAGTTGTATCGTTTTAATTCTGTGTTCAGATGCTGAGTCTGCTGTATAGTGAGGTTAGTTTGATATGAACTAACATTTTGATGATGTTACTATCCATGGATATGTAGATGACAATCATTGTGTTGATAGTGTAACCAAGGACAACCTGAACACTTATCTCCCTTTTTACCCACCTGTTTGTGACAGTGTTTTCATCACTGTAAAAAGTCTTTTTTTCGTGATTTTACCAAAAGCATGAAAGACATGGTTTTCTCAATTGAATTAGATTTCTCAGAATTTTGATTTTTAACAATTTCATGCAATCTTTAATATGAATGAAAAACAGAAGCCGTAAAAAAACCAACCACTTTTATTATAATTTTCTCTCTCAATCTTATGTATTAACAATCACTAAGTTGTAAACATTTGGATTAATACAAACATATTGGTTGATATTGTTCATTTTTCTTAAAGTCCTTTTCTGAAATACCACGATGATGTAATTAATTGATGTTGAAGTTGATGCAAAATACATTGTTATCTATGGATATTGAAACATACATGTACATAATCATTATATGTAATATATATCAGAGGCAACCCATATTAAACAGATATGACTGTACATACTATTTATCAAACTGTATATTGACTCCTAGTTTGTCACATATGTTGAAGACAAATGATGTTTTGAATTTGAGGCTCTTAAGCCTGATCATGAGTAAGTTCTGTGATAATTTGCACTTGTTTCAAATTTTCACAAGTGTGGGAGAGGCAACAAGAGTTATTCCCCTTCGCCCTTATCATTGGGAATGTTTTGTATGTGTACATCAATCACTTGCTTTAAGTTCTAATTAAAAAGCTTAGTTTGAGCTACAATTAACAATTTCATCAAACACATCCTAACTGTACCATTAACAAAATGGCTTTACTTCTTCATGAAGAAAAAAATCTAAATGTTGGAAGCTTCATTTTGAAATCAAAGATAATTTACCAAAGAAAAATACAACTTGTAAGATTATGTGATTAGTATGTACTTGTCCATTTACTCAAACAAAATAAGTATAGATGTTTTAGTTCTGTGTGTGATTCTCCTTACAACATAGATGAAGTAGAGCCCAGTGATAATATTACTTCTCCAGGTGTGGCTGATTTCTTATACAAGTTTATATTTACATTAAATCTGCTTGAAAGCATTGATTACTTTTTCATTCATACAAACATAACAAAACTGGCATAATCATAGTATTTAGTGATACACAACCACATCACCTAGCTGTACCTGTCCTCTTAAACTGATGTTACAAAGGACATGACTGTAAGAAGTAAAAAGAATTTTTTTTAATATCTTGTCCTGAAACTATACTTCGGTAACAATGTTTGATATTTTAGAAGAGAACAAGTGTAAACATGCATGTCTATAGATATTACTAAATACATTATTATATATGGTATGTTACACAATGTAACATTACTATTACAAAGATATTTATGCAATCACTCTTAACTGGACTTGTTATATACACTTAAGTATTTGATATTATTTAAATCTTTGCAATATTTCAGATTCATGTGTTCCTGTATGAAATAACAACACCTAATATGGTATGCTGTACTGTATACATTTGTAATTTGATACTCTTTCAGTTATTGAACAAAAGAATGCATTTTATACAGTATCTATATAAAACATTATTTAGTTACCTGAATATAGCATAACTATTAACATTTGTGACACAACACTTTAAGATACAGCTGTATAGATATTATGATATATAAAACACACTTTTTTAAAAAGCTGTTTACAATCTTAAATGAACTTTTCTCTGTTTCTTGATTCATTCAACTGTTTCAATTTGCTCAAATCTGTCTATACAAACTCTTTACAGCAGTGTCTTTTTTTCTTTGGTGTATTTGTGTGTGGGTCCTGAGCAGAATGTATGTGCTCTTGAAGTGTCCTACATCTAGGTAGATATAACATATGTAAGTTTTGTTGAATATCTGTATATGCTGGTGCTAAGCCTGTTATTTTTCAGAAGGTGCTGTCTGTATTTATGCTTGTATGATTTCTGTGATAATGGATATAAGTTTTTGCAAAGTTAGAATATCTAAACTTTATCATTTAAACTGATGGATATTGGGACAGACACATCTCTTGTAGTGGGACAGGGAGATTAGTGATGGATAGTGGGACTGACTGATTTTGTGGTTGGACACCAAGAGTAGTGATGCTGGATAATGGGACAGACTGATTTTGTGGTTGGACACCAACAGTAGTGATGCTGGATAATGGGACAGACTGATTTTGTGGTTGGACACCAAGAGTAGTGATGCTGGATAATGAGACAGACTGATTTTGTGGTTGGACACCAAGAGTAGTGATGCTTGATAATGAGACAGACTGATTTTGTGGTTGGACACCAAGAGTAGTATGCTGGATAATGAGACAGACACATCTCTTGTAGTGGGACAGGGAGATTAGTGATGGCTGGATAATGGGACAGACTGATTTTGTGGTTGGACACCAACAGTAGTGATGCTGGATAATGGGACAAGAGTAGTGATGCTGGATGAGACAGACTGATTTTGTGGTTGGACACCAAGAGTAGTGATGCTTGATAATGAGACAGACTGATTTTGTGGTTGGACACCAAGAGTAGTATGCTGGATAATGAGACAGACACATCTCTTGTAGTGGGACAGGGAGATTAGTGATGGCTGGATAATGGGACAGACTGATTTTGTGGTTGGACACCAACAGTAGTGATGGCTGGATAATGGAACAGACTGATTTTGTGGTTGGACACCAACAGTAGTGATGCTGGATAATGGGACAGACTGATTTTGTGGTTGGACACCAAGAGTAGTGATGCTGGATAATGAGACAGACTGATTTTGTGGTTGGACACCAAGAGTAGTGATGCTTGATAATGAGACAGACTGATTTTGTGGTTGGACACCAAGAGTAGTATGCTGGATAATGAGACAGACACATCTCTTGTAGTGGGACAGGGAGATTAGTGATGGCTGGATAATGGGACAGACTGATTTTGTGGTTGGACACCAAGAGTAGTGATGCTGGATAATGGGACAGACTGATTTTGTGGTTGGACACCAACAGTAGTGATGCTGGATAATGAGACAGACAGAAATTTGTGGTTGGACACCAAGAGTAGTGATGCTGGATAATGAGACAGACTGATTTTGTGGTTGGACACCAAGAGTAGTGATGCTGGATAATGGGACAGACTGATTTTGTGATTGTTTTGATACTTGATACTTCTTGCGGCTTTAAAGCGGGACAGTTGCATTAGTTTTGGCAAGTGCTAGCTGGTAGTGTACAGAGTATCAATGAATGTATGGTTGTGTGGACGGATAAATAGTGGATGGATGTGGAGATGTTAGCAATGGATGGATGAATAGAAAAATGCTGGGTTAGACAAATAGTTAATGGATGGGTGAACAGAAAAATGCTGGGTTAGACAAATAGGTAATGGATGAGTGAACAGAAAAATGCTGGGTTAGACAAACAGGTGATGGATGGGTGAACAGAAAAGTGCTGGGTTAGACAAACAGGTGATGGATGGGTGAACAGAAAAGTGCTGGGTTAGACAAATAGGTAATGGATGGATGAACAGAAAAGTGCTGGGTTAGACAAATAGGTAATGGATGGGTAAACAGAAGAAAATGCTGGGTTAGACAAATAGGTAATGGATGGGTGAACAGAAAAATGCTGGGTTAGACAAATAGGTAATGGATGGGTAAACAGAAGAAAATGCTGGGTTAGACAAATAGGTAATGGATGGGTGAACAGAAAAATGCTGGGTTAGACAAATAGGTAATGGATGGGTGAACAGAAAAGTGCTGGGTTAGACAAACAGGTGATGGATGGGTGAACAGAAAAGTGCTGGGTTAGACAAATAGGTAATGGATGGGTAAACAGAAGAAAATGCTGGGTTAGACAAATAGGTAATGGATGGGTGAACAGAAAAGTGCTGGGTTAGACAATATGGATTGAAATTTAGACAAATAGGTAATGGATGGGTAAACAGAAAATTGGGTTAGACAAATAGGTAATGGATGGGTGAACAGAAAAATGCTGGGTTAAACAAATGGCAATACAGAAAATATTGTTAGAATTAGAAGCTGAGCTTGATACTGAAAATAGAAAAGTTGAAGTGAATGTTCACACAATTGATAACACATGGTAGATTTAAAAGCTGATGTGGTATGTTTATTTCTGTGTGAAGTCAAGTCGAAGACTGCAAATTGACCTGAAGAAATATTGGAGATACAAACCATAGTGTTAAAAAATAAATACAGAACATCATTCAAGCTTCTCCTCATGTTTTTAAACAATAATCTAACTCAAGAAAAGGGAAACACAGTAGCAATATCATCATAACAGGACTATTTTTTATAGATGAATCTTGTTACGATATCAGGTCTCCATTACACATCATTATAAAATGATTGAGAGGGTTCCTAATATCAGACATTATTACCATTGTGGCTGTTAACAGAGGTACTCATCGGTCAAATCATTGTCGCTTCTGTTTTAAAATTTAATAGTGTTCAGGTTCTATTTAACCGAGGTACTCATCGGTCAAATCATTGTCGCTTCTGTTTTAGAATTTAATAGCGTTCAGGTTCTATTTATTTGTCTTGTTTTGTTTATGAAAGTGAAGCGACTGTGATGAGGTTCTGGCAGTACACCTTTGTTTTAGCACCAATCAGAACATGTCATTATTCCTTATAGTCAGACTTGTTTCATTGTTGATTCCATGGTGGAAGAACTAATTGTTTTATAACCAAATGTTTAAAATTTTATGCGAGTAGAGAGGAACAATAAATTCCAGCAGATTATATATATTTGTGTTTGTTTTTAGTTCACCTGGTCCCAAAGATTATTAAGGTTGCACATGGAACGGCATCCGTCCTTTAACTTTTTTTTTTTAAAAAAGTTAATACTTATCATCAATGTCTGAGTGGATTTTGACCAGATTTGGTCAAAAGCTTCCTTGTGGGAAGAGGGTTAAAATTTGTATGACTTAATGGTCTCTGCCCAAAGAGGCCAAGGAGGCAGGATACAAAGTGGACAATTGAGCAAATTTTTCACAATCTTTTTTCATCAGTAGGAGTATTTGGAGTTTGTTCAAAGTTGGTCTGAGCACCCTTGTGGAGAGGAGAACCAATTTTAAATGAATGGATTACCTGGCCTCTTGGGATCAAAAGGTAAGAACCCAGATGAAGATCTAAAGAAAATTCTGAAACATTATCCTTCTTCTGTTGGAGTGACAGTATTATTGTTGACATTTATTCAGAGGAATCTCTGGAGGCAAGGGAGACTAACTTGGTGTAAAAAGGGGGTCTGAGCCCATTGGCAGGGCCAGAACAGGAGATAAATGAAGAACTTCAAAACCGTTCCGTTGGGATGAAGATATTTCAATCGAATTTGGTCAGAAACAGCCTAGGGCTAAGAGGAATAAGCTTTGTATAAATTCTAGGTCTTTGCCAAGTGGTACCGGAGAGCTGGGACGAAGAGGGGAAATGTAGTCAATTCTGAAAATTCCTTCATCTTCTGGTGGAATAACAAAAATTAGTTCAAACTTTTCCCGAAGAATCCTTTGGTAAAGGGAACTCAATACTGTGTTAATCATGGGATCATCCTACTGAAAGTAGAGACATTTTCATGTCGGTAATTTTAAAATAGGAATATACAAAATGTTTTTTCTGTGCTTTGAAATGTAAAAAAGTAGGTACTCTATTTCAGTAGATTAAAATGAGTTTACACATCATGCAAGTTCCATGTAGTTAGACTATCCATTCTATAACGATAAAACACTCTACACGTAATCACTACAAGTCGTTACCTCGCCAAGATTTCTATACCTAAAGGATAAAGGACTTCTTTAATTTAAGATATTTTGTATTGACATAGCCGTTTAAAAAGTAAGAGGAATAGAAGGGCACCTTACCTAACCCCCAATGGATTTTTTAAATCCGTCATCCATGACAAAAAACTTGTCTACAGCTAGTGCGCCTAAACTACCAACAAACCGTGACAGAACAAATGCATGCTTTTTTTCCCATTCAAACTTGTGTCAATAGTAGCTGATGGCCAATGTATTTGCAATCTATCTTTTTCATGTCACGCTTATCCCAACTTGATAGAGGACGGTCTCTCAATGTTCATGGGAGGTAGCACTCAACAGTAGGTCGGTAATCACTTTGGAGCTCTCACGGGAAGAAGAGTTGATGGTAGACTGAAATCCGCATCTCCATGTGTACCGTCAGGACGTCAAGTCTGGTTCATTACAGGCGATTAACGGCAGCCGAAACGGCACGAAATATCGTTAGTAATGGAAACCGTCGGATCCACCAAAACTGTGAGAAATACACAGCGAGAGGCAAATTTATGCCCACGTCGCTAGTACGTCGATTTGCCATTTACATCTCAACGTGTGCCCAGACGTGACCCTATGAGGAATGATTCTCGGTTCATGTTATTTCGATCAGATTGTCGTCAAAGTGTGTACAAGCATCGAGATGTCTTACAGCCGCTTCAGTGTTTGAGTACGACAAATTTGAAGGTGGATCGGTTATGGTTTTTGCGGAGAAAAGACACCTTTAGTGATCAGAAATGTGAATTTAACGGTCATACGCTATCGAGATGAGAAGCCTCATCTCGTGCCTTTCATTATAAGACACCATTTCACCTCTCAGCATGATAACACTAAGCCACATGTTTGTATGGACTTTTTTGCAACCAATAACATCGTCCCTATCGATTGGCCTCCATATAGCCCAATCGAACACTAGTGACGCTATAACTGTTCGGGGAGGGCACGCACGAAATATGGATCGCTCTGACAACTACCGTTATTTCAACATTGTGTTAATTAGAGTACCCAAAGTCATGGCGGCCTGATAAGGACCTCATTTGTTTAAAGTCTCAGAAAACAGTCAATTCGAATTCACTATTGCATTTTACATTCAGGCATATTGTACATAAACGACATTTCACTGAAGTTGGCGTTGTATCTCCTTTTCCACTTATTATACAACTTTATAGTAACACCTGACATAACGTTATACCTTAAGTGACGATATCTCGTGTCCATTCTACAACTGTATACATACACCTTACGTGACGTTACCTCGTGTCCATTCTACAACTGTATACATACACCTTACGTGACGTTACCTCGTGTCCATTTTACAACTGTATACATACACCTTACGTGACGTTACCTCGTGTCCATTCTACAGCTGTATACATACACCTTACGTGACGTTACCTCGTGTCCATTCTACAGCTGTATACATACACCTTACGTGACGTTACCTCGTGTCCATTCTACAACTGTATACATACACCTTACTTAGCGTTACCTCGTGTCCATTCTACAATTGTATACATACATCTTACTTGACGTTACCTCGTGTCCATTCTACAACTGTATACATACACCTTATGTGACGTTACCTCGTGTCCATTCTACAGCTGTATACAAACACCTTACGTGACGTTACCTCGTGTCCATT